AATTGATTAAACTTCCTATTACATTGCATTGATTTCATTATAAAATTTTATGCCATGTAAGGTGATTTTCAAATCGATTTTAAGCGAAAATGTTAATATTATTAAAGTTTAATAAGAGGACCTTTTTTATGTATAAACCTCCAAAATAAAATAATTTAAAACAAAATCCTGGGACAAGACACGTACAAAAAAGTTTTAATTATCAATTAAATTGAAAAGGCAACAAAGTAAATGGGTTTCGGTAAACGCATTACTCTTCGACTATTATTTGAAATTTTTTGTTCATCATGCCTAAAGTACCCAAAAATTTAATCTCCAATCTTATTTATTAAGTCTTATCAAAATTTACTATCGAATTGAAGTATAAAGGGGCCTCTATTAATTATTGACATTTAAAATTTAAACTTTAAATTGTATTTTTACTTAAAAGTGATTTTAAGAACCAAAAATGAAAAAAGAGCAGCAAATGGAAGTGGTAATGGAAGTGGCAGGGGACGAACATTTATGTCGTCGTTGTAAATTTGTTTTGTTTTTGTTGCGGTACCTTTACGCCCAAGAAAAACCAACGCAATATTTCATTACAAAATTTTATGAGATATATCTACTACTTTAATTTTGCAGGAATATTAAATGGACCTGATATACTACGTTTAATGAAAGATCAAGCATTCAAAAATGCTCTCAAAATTGACGAGCTTGTCACATATGGCAGTGTTAAGACTGTCATTGACACTGTTCTTGGGTGATATCGGGCCTAAAATTGGCGCCAATTCATTGAAAAAATGCTCTCCGTTTTGTAAAGAATTAGCGTTAATATGACATTTAAAATTCATTTTATTTTTTGCCATCCTGATAAATTTGCCGAACTGATGAACATGGATTCATTGCTATGAGACATTCGAAAGAATTTGCAGCAAAAGATGTACGACGATGATGAGGATTAAGCACAATAATACCATAATCTAATTCGATATTTGATACGATTTAATAAATTTTAGGTAGAAAAAAGCAAAATTATGCAATGCATTAAATTTTGAGGGCTTAATTTGGATAAAAAATACTGAAACTTGTTTACTTTGTTGCCCTTTCAATTTAATAATTAAAATAAACGACAAAAAATGTCAAATAATGGTTGTTTTTTACATAAAATAAATAAAAAATTTAATTTTAGTATTTAAAATGTCATATTGTTAAGATAAATATTTGTCGCATACCAATTACTTCAGTACATTCAAGATAAATTAAAGCCAAAATAATTTAATAAATAATTAAAATACTAACAATAAACTTACATTTTGAGGTGATTGAGCAGAGCATTTTATTACGAAATTATTTTAAACCCTAGACGTCCTAAAGAAAAACTAATGACATTTTTGAACTCAGCGGACCAAAATTAGTTAAACTGAGCTGGAGTACTTAATGTTAGGAAAAAAAGTGTCTAAAACTATCATAGTGTTATGGGCGACCAGTAAAGCCTGATTTATAGATTACCTTCCTTCCCTTCTCACTTCCTCACGTAAAAGATGAACAATGCAAAAACCATTGTGCTGTTTATAGATTCCCTTACAGGTATCTATAAACGGCACTACGATTTTTATGAGGCGCCGTTTGGGCCAATATAAAATTAAGTGTTTATATATAAATTTTCATCTTTGATTGAAAATATTTTTTATATATAAAAGGTTTTAATTGTGTGAAATAAGTTCGCTTGTAAATGATTTATTTTAAAGTTTCCACAATATACCGTGTGCAGTGAGGGCACCACTTTGATGTTCGTAAACATTTTTGACATAATTGTCATTTAACATTTATTTTTATTCCATATCTAGAATATTTTCAATCAAGGATGGAAATTTTTATCCATTAATGTTTCCGAACATTGAAGTGGCGCCCTCATTGTACACGGTATATTGCGAAAGCTTTAAAATATATCAATCACAAGTAAAATTAAATCACACAATTAAAATCTTTTATATATCAACAATATTTTCAATCAAAGATAAAAATTTATATATAAATACTTAATTTTATATTGGCTCAAACGGCGCCTCATAGATTTTCGTAACAAAAACTTGTTGAGGCAAAATATTTTAAACTTTTATTTTTAAAACACCCTCATCCATAGGCACCTTTAAACCATGAAAATGAACAAATAATTACATTTAAATGTTTATTTTTAAATAATTATTTTCAAATACCATAATAAACTTTAATTATAAATTGTTTAAAAATAAATATATCTGAATAGATAATTTTTATAATTTAACATAGCATCCTGTTTTAAAAAATAACCTTGCTGTTAAACATAAAAAAACAATAAAATAAAACGCAAAATGTTGAAAACTGATCAAAATAAAATTAGGAAACACAAATTTAAAGCTAATGAACTCTTCTACCTATTAGTTGCTTTAACTGACATTGTCAATAAACTTTCACGGTCTATTATTTAAATAAAAATGATTTTCGGCGATTCTTGGGTCACTGAACTATCTAGGATATGTAAATGTTGTAGTTGAAACCCGTCGTAAAATACTTACTTTAAAATGGAAGTGAAATAATTATTTAAAAGCACATTTTTTATCCAGTAGTATCTGCAGATAAACCATGGTTTAGTAGTACGATAATAATAATAAGAATAATACTTATTGGAAACCATTTTTAATTTTATTGTTAAAGATTTCGTTTAATCCTGTTAAACCCTGACATTTTAATTGCGAAAATATGTACATAACTCGCTAATGAATGCCTATGCAGCATAAGACATTTTTTGTATGAAATTTAACGCTCTACAAAAAAGGTATTTTTTCATAAACCATCCATTTAAATTTAATTAAATGTCAAAATTTTAAATAACCTCGGTCAAGAGCCTTTTGGTAGAATCAATAAATAAAGGTGTATTATTATTAAAAATAAAAAGTATTGTCATTATCTTTTTTTACTGAATTTATAAGTGGCTTCTTTTACTTTGGTAATATCTAAATTATTTGTTTACAGTCTAAGAATAAAGTATCAAGTTTGATAAACGCCATTTTAGTCACGAATTTAAATTCCACGCTTAACGGATAGGACAGTTGCCGTGTTTTTATTTACAAAATAATATTGTTCTATTATATTACCAATGTCAAATTTTTATAAATAGTTCTAAACAAAAGCTGTTTAACAAGGTTGTTATTTGGCAAAATTAGGTATCGTGATTGACTGTTTAATTCCTTAAAAATTAATAATTTAAAGCGTAACGGGCGGGACTATTACAAAGTCACGTCCGTTACGCTTTAAATTATTATTTTTTAAGGAATTAAACAGTCAACCACGATACCTAATTTTGCCAAATAAAAACCTTGTTAAACAGCTTTAGTTTAGAACTATTTATAAAAATTTGACATTAGTTATATAATAGAACAATATTATTTTGTAAATAAAAACACGGCGGCGTCCCTTATTTTTATTTTTTTTTACGCATACCCTCTAATTATATTTATTACTTGTTTATATACTCCCAGTAAAAATTTCAGCTCATTCTATAAACGGGAACCCGTGCCGACTTGCATCTGAACCCTCCGTTAGCCAACGTTAGGATAAGTATACTTCATGACTGTATTTTTCTAATGATTTTATTAAATATGATTATTATTAATTAATATTATTGCTTTTGTTTCTATCATTTGTTTCACTAATTTAGTTGATTTTATCCCTTAAATATATTAATATAATTAGTATTACTAAAATATACTGTTATATGAAATTTCAGCTTTTTATAAGCATTTCTTTTCTTGGTGTCCTTCCAAAAATATTTCAGACAGTTCAATAAGTTTTCGGTAGTCATCTCTCACAATAGACTCTTTTAGTTATTTAGAGTAAAACCCATTAAGTTTATCAATTTCAGAGTTTACGGCCTATTCACCAGACCCTTCCGGGTAAGTAGCCACTCCCTGTGAAAATATACATTTTTATCAAAGTATACACATAATAAAAACTATATTTTAACATTTGTCAATAATTTATAATATATAATCATATTTAATAAAATCATTAGAAAAATACAGTCATGAAGTATATCTTCTTTTTAAAGTGTTTCGTGTTACAAAATACCGCGCGCCTAACGTTGGCTAACGGAGGGTTCAGATGCAAGTCGGCACGGGTTCCCGTTTAAAGAATGAGCTGAAATTTTAACTGGGAGTATATAAACACGTAATAAATATAATTAGAGGGTATGCATAAAAAAAATAAAAATAAGGGACACCCTAATAAGCATACACAATGTCATTATTTTATCTCAAACAGTTTCTGAAATAATAAAAAAACACCTTCAGGGGTTAATTATCTTTGGCTGAAGCTTTCTTAGGGGCCATTTGCCACTAGCGTCTAGAGGCACCGAATTATCTTGGCTCCCTGGCTCCTAGACATGCGCGTTTTATAGAAATGTACTCAAACTCAACAACACAACCCAACCGACCCCGCCCCATTGGGCCCCCCCCGCCCCATTGAGCAAAAAACCCAACTAAAATGGGCAAATTTATGTAATTAAAAAGTGTTTTATTTTTATCGTAACACAAATTTGACAATTTTAGTTGGTTTTTGCTCAATGGGGCGGGGGGGCCCAATGGGGCGGGGTCGGTTGGGTTGTGTTGTTGAGTTTGAGTACATTTCTATAAAACGCGCATGTCTAGGAGCCAGGGAGCCTAGATAATTCGGTGCCTCTAGACGCTAGTCCATTTTGCCGACCTGTTTATAAGAAGATTTCTTCCTATTTCTGTCTTTAGAAACCACAAAACTGGAAACACCCTGTATATTGTCTTTAACTTGTCAATTTGATTAAACTAAAACGTCACAATAAAAAAATAAAATAAGCAGTATAAAAAATTCAAAACTTAAAAAACTGAAAATATCAAATAAATTTAAAAACTCTTTCAGATCGGTAACAATCTTGTCCCGTACCAAAAACAAGAAAAAAGAAAAATTCGAATGAGCAAATAGGGACTGGGTGGACTATTTAAAAACATATGGTGAACGTGAAAGACGAGACGACGGCGGAGATGGCGGAGTCGAAAGAGTCAAAAGAGCCAAAACCGCCACAGACCGCCAAAAGCAACAACAATCAGAGCAACGGCAGCACTGCTGCCCCCAGCCAATCAGCAGCCATTCCTCAAACCACTCCAACGACCAATCATGTGAGTCTTTTTTAATTTTAATTTATTATTTTCTGAATTATTGGATTTATTTATTTCTTAAATAATAATAGTTAAAATAATTTTTCATTGGTTCTACTTGTTTTTTAAAAGGTTTTATTTGAGTTAAATTATTGACCTTTTTTTGTTTTTACATATACCTTTTTATTCCGTTATTTATGGTCGGGTTTTAAAAATTTAAAGGTTTTTGTAATTGCCCTTTTAAAATTACAATTTTTGTGCAAACCATTTTTATGAAATATATTAACCAACAAAGATAAAGAGGTTTATGTAAAAGCAAAAGAAGGTCGAATTCAATAGAGGTTGTAGATCTTACCTTAGAAAAATGGCTCTGGTTGAACGAGACACTCAAATTTTGAACACTAGTTTTTTTATTTGTGTTAATTTTTTAATAAGTTTAAAACATTTTTAATACGTACTTTTTTAAATATTATTTTAACACGTTTGAGGATTAATTGCGTATGAGTATGAATATAGTAGTATGGGGACGTATGGCAGGCCCCATCGACATCGCCATACACTGATCTCCCAGGGTTATTTTACCCCCTTTTAGTTCTCCTACGTATCCCGCAACTGCATAGCATTGCCTGTATTTGTTGGATCTTGTTGGATTTTGTCGCCGGGTCGGGCCATACGCCCAATTTAGGACAGTGGATTGCGGTACAAGGAGGGAAAACATGTTGGTTTTTGGAGGACATTGAACTGACCCTAAACTAGGTACAATCCGGAATCGTTCTTAACCAGGGATTTAGTAATAGACCCATTTATTTGGGGTTCATGAATGAGGCTTGGTAGTTTTTCTAATAATATCTAGTTACTGTGTTGCCCAAGCCCGTTTTGTGGTAGAATTGTTTTTTCTTTTTTTTATTATTTTTTAACAATAAGGTGTTGCATTAATTTATTATACTATTTAGGCTCGCAGGCTATTACTTTTGTTCGTTAGTGGTTTAGTGGTTTGAGTTGAGTGTTTTTTTGTTTATGTTTAAGTTAGACAATCAGAAATTGATTTCAAGTGTTACCTACTTAAGATATGGGTTTATTAACTTTCAAGTCACGTCCTTTGGTCGGATATGCTTGTTTTTATTTTTAAGTTGAACTTGCTTTACTGTATAGACATATATAAAATACCTATAGGTATTTTATGGACTATTACGATGTTGGTTTATTGTTCCCTGTTCGCCTATTTTAACGTTGTTTTTTTTAAATGGATTTTTGTTGTTTCTACGAATTTTTCTACTTGAGAAGGTTTTGTAGACTTGGTGAATTACGGAAATACAAATTTTTAGTAATGCAAATAGCGTCATGCAAATATTTATAACAAACTTATCCGAATTTTGCGGATGCCCCTTGTTTCCTTGTGATTAATTTAAGTTTCCGGCCACAATGTACCTGCTCAGGTGGATGGCAGGGGTGACACTATACACTTTGCACTTTAGTCCTGGTTGGTGAGGTGATTATGAACCTTGGGATTCGCGGAACTATACATTGTTAAAGGAAACCTTATAGAATAATTACCTTTTAGGTATTTTGTATTTAAAGTGCACTGGTTATTTTTGTTTCGATAGAAATATACGTCTAACTGGTATAAGTGGTACTGTCATACTGTTGACGTTCTAGGATTAATTTTTGTTAAAAACATTTCAAGGCCCAAGGCAGATTTTTAATATCAATTACATTAAGGATAAGTTTTTCTAAACTACAGAACCTTATATTTTTAAATATGTGGAAGGTGTTCAGTACAACTCAAAAACAACTAATTGGTTTTTTTTTATTTAAACAAACAAAAAATACAAATTTCCAAAAATTGTTCTTTTGCCGAATTTGTGTTTTTTTTTGTTGTAAAAAAGTAATTTTAATTTAACTCAAAAAAAATATACCTACGATTTTTACTTTACATAAATTATAATGAACACCCAATAACAAAACAAAAAATTGATGATTCAAGAAAGAAAAAAAATTGTTGATTATTTTTTCAGGTTCCGCGTAAAAATCGGGCGCATTCTTATCCGCACCTCCACCACCCGGGTGCATTTCACACCCACTACTATCACCATCAGTGCGCGTACATGGGCGCCGATCTGCTGGACGGCGCCACCTCGCCCGTCAAATTCTACTTCGGTCCGGGTTTCGAACCGCAAAACCAACCGAGTCCGGCTCAAGCGCCCGGCAACGAGCACGTGGTCCTGTTCCACGTTAACCCCGGCGTGACCATCAACTTGCAGATTGGGGAGAACGTCGAAGTGCTTAGAGGTAAGTGAAGTACCAACCATACATAGTGTTACATTGTTTATATCATACACTGTTCAAAATTTCATGACCATTTTAACACCAAATTAACACCATATATGGTCTAAATCGATACAAACCAAAATGGTGTTAAATAGGGTTCGTTGGTCCGGTGTAAATTCAAATACTAAAATGGTGTAAATTCAAATACTAAAATGGTGTAAATTTAACTTTCACACAGTATTCAAATAAATTTTACCTGGAGTAAATTGAACTCCTTTTCAGTGTTAAATATTATGTGTTTGTGGTCAAATTAAATCATACTACACAGAAAAAAGGAAAAAAAAGGAAACAAAAAGTTCCTTGACGCATTACTAGTATATTACCAGTGGTATTATTCCAGAAAATGGAACCTTCAACTCGCTAGAGATAATGTTTTTAGTTCGTTCCACTAACTTAAAATACTTCAAGTATTGACAGCTGTTTCCACCTATTTAAGGTCTAGTATCGAACAACTTGTAGTGTCACACCAAAGCAAAGGACAACCTGAGCTTATATATTTTCATGTAAGTCAACAGAGGCGAGATTTAAGAACATCACGTGATCCACAAAAAAATAAATACTTATGGGTCAACTAAATTAATATAGTTAAATGAACTAGGTATTTCTTTTTTTCTGTGTAGGTGCACTTCTCAAATATTTTTAGATAAACACCGTTTTGGTGTTCATTTTCAACCATAATTCATGGTGTTATATTAACACCACTTGGTGTTGGATTTTGACACCATTTTAGGAATATTTTTTACACCACAGATATTTTAAACAGTGTAGTACACTTTAAAATGTACAAAAGAACACAATAACAAAACTTTTGAAATTTCCAAAATTCACCAAGGTTTTATCTATTTACAAACCATTTGAGTCAGTAAAACGAGTCTTTTCCGGACTCGATCCCAAAAAATGCAATGGAAACTTTTGAGAATCATTTAAGTAAATAAAGTAAAATTGTTCAATACAACAATTAAACAACTACAAAAATATGAACTAATTATTACGTTTGTAAGTTAAATTAATAACATTTAAATGATTATGGCCTAAAATAAAAATGGTATAGTTGCGGCCAAAAGTGCATAGCGGTGGGGGCTGTTTATTAAGATGGAATTATAACATCATTGTTATAAGGGTGATTATACGAAAGTTGGGTAACTTTTGACCTCATTTTGTTTATATACTTTTCGGAGAAAATTAAACAGTATTTTGTTATGAGAACATAGATAATATAATAAATATACTGTTCCAGACCGGGCCAGTCACTTTTTCAAACAGTTTCTGAAATATCTGTGTTTTCTAAATTTGAATGCAAGGGAATTAACGAGTAAACCAGGGTAATAATTAAATACATAATTTATTAGAAAATATAAGATTTATTGCAACTTTGAGCATATTATACATTAATCAAATAATACCACTCATCAGTGGCGGCTGGTGGATTTTGGGTACACCGATATCTCAATTATTAGATATGGGACCCACACCAAGTTTATAATGACATTAAATAAACAAGTTCTGCGTAAGCAGAATTTAAATTGAAGTTTGCGAAAATAAGATAATCGAAACATCGAACATGGAACTGACGACACGGTACTAATGAATGGGATACAAATTTGAGATTATAATTCGGAATTAAGTATTTTACTGATATTTTTTATTAGTGGATGCTACTTATCAACAAATCGCATATAGCCTTATATAAATTACAATGAAATGAAAAATATATTTATATACGTAAGAAAATAACTACTCACCACAGTACTGAAATTTTGACTGGAACTATACGTGCATTCACCACAACTTCGCCGTTTGCATTGTTTTCAAGATGATTGTCGTTCAAAGGGCGGGCTCTCTGACGTTTAAACTTCAATATTTCGCAGGAATTTTGAATTTTAACATTGGACACAGAACTGACAAAGGTTATCATTTTTTTTAAATTGCTATTATTCGAATCTATGATAAAATATGAAAAATACATTATTTAATGTTTTATAGTTTGTAGTGAAATTGAAAAATTTAAAATAAATTGAATATATTTTAAAATAAAACCACTCAATGTTTTGAATGTTTATTATGTTTTTCTACAAACGTGCTTTTGGAAAAATTCATTAAAATTGGGTGGAGAAGTTAAAAAAACCTGGATCTTTTGTAATATACTAAAATATTAACAAAAAATAATAAAATACCCACTCTATTGACTGATGACATCAAGTTGTCCAACTTTTGTAGAATCACCCATAATCTCCTACACTAACTAATTAGGAGTTTGTTACGGGCAAATTTTGATTAAATGTGTTTAGTGAGGAAACAAACGGAGTAATTACTTTGTTTGCACTATCCAGTGGTGGAATATGATAAACACAATGTATAATAATATATTATTATACGAGAGATAATGCAGGCTATTATTCAAGAGGATGAGATTTACGTCTCGAGTCGCCAGACGAGATACCGAAATCATCCGTGTGAATATTGCGCATAATCTCGAGTGTAATAAGTACACTGAAAGAAATATATACTAAAGTTAAATAAAAAAATAATTAGGGCAAATATATTTTATGTTTCATATATAGACTACCACATACATTGCTAAAACAAATATATTCGTTTGGTTAGCAGCCTATTGCTGCCCTAGCAATATAAATGGTGTTTCTAGCAATATTTTTTTGCTGTAATTCACTTATAGTTTACATTTTATAGTAAGGGTAAGTTTATTTTTATTTAGATCTAACATATCTTCTTTACAATAAATGTATTACAAAATTTACCATACATTCATAATAAACAGTAGTATAAATGTGTAAAGCACTAGTATAAAATTTTTAGTATAAATTTGTATTTACTTTTAGCAACAAATTTCTTTCAGTGTAGATAATTAAATGATTTTCAAAATTAAATAAATAAAATCTGACATGTCAAATGGTTAACCTCACTTTTTACCAATTTTAAATGTTATTATATTCGCCTTCTTCCAATTTAAAACCCGATTGGTTCAAATCACAGTAAATATTGAAATCAGACAATCACTGATGCCTAACAACGTGAATAATGGGTTTATTATTCACGTTGTTAGGCAGGAAGTTTATAATGTTTATCAATATTCACGCAAAAAAAAAATAGCAGTAGATAAAATTATTTATAATAATCTGCAACAAACAATGCTTACGGACTAAATGTCAAAATTACAAAAAAAATGGTCAAATATAAAATGATGCTGACCCATCAATAATATTGAACAGTGAGTTCCAGCCTTGAGCTATTAGCAACTGGAACCCACAAAAATTACTAAGTAAATGGTTTTATTTTCATAATTTAGTTAAAAAAAGTTTTAAAACAAGGAAATTGTTACAATTCTTGGTCAACAATACTATAATATAATTTTAACCATAAAACAGCTTCAAAAGCATAAAACAGTTTAAAAACTCGTAAGCTTCATTGAGGACATGAGTTACAGTTGGGACATTTCGATTTACATATTTCGTAATTAATCAAGTAGTTTTTGTAGCAGATTGTTACGTTGTGAAAATGGGTGCTCAACAGGTTCTAAAATGCACTCTCATCACTTGTGGCCAAGGGCGGCAATAAAACTTATGGTGTCGACTCTTTAATACATACGTATATTTTAGGGTGGTAACATTCCCGAACCGTAGCGTAGCTTTTTTCGAGTCCAATATTTGCGAAGAAACATGATATATTATCAGCTTATATTTACTTATTTTTACTTCAAAATAAATTATCCTTTTAAAGAGTTGTTCTTTGAACAATCAAAGCATTAGTCGTTTTTCAAATTGTTTTAAAAAGTTTTAATGTTAATTATATTGTAATTATTTTAGTTTCTTTCAACACAGCAAAATTTCCCATCATTTGCAAACATCCCTGGGTTTATTACTCTTTTACCTCTCCTTTACCTTTACAAAAGAAATATTTATATTCGTGTTAATAAATTAAATCTAAAAATATAATAGACTTTATTATTTTTTGGATGTTTGCCTTGTTCTAAATATTTTATAGATCTAAGATCTAGGGGCTCTCGTCGACCACTACATCCTAATTCTCCGCCTTGAATACATTTGCTCCGGGTTACTACACGCTAAGTTCGTATATAGTATATAGTTTGTGTATAAGTGTGTATATAACAAAGTTAAGTTTGTATATACCTCATCGATCAATTTGATTACCTACCCGTACGCTTTTTAAATTTTATTTAAAATTATTATTAATGTGTAAGGATTAAAGACCTTAAAATTAGCCATTTTAGACCATTTGGAGACGATTAACTTGTTTTTTTTTTTCGACACATTCGACCACTGTGTGCCGATTTATTTGTTTCAACTTTAGAATCAATAAGATCACAATTTCTGATGTAACTGATGAAAATATTAATAAATCAAATAAATAAAATTGTTAGCACTAAAAATGTTGAATTTTTTAATCGAGGCCTTCAACTCTTACAGTGTTCTGTCTGCAGACTACATGTAGTTGTAAATACGTGCCTTGAGGTAGCCCATAAGAAAAGTCACATTTGATAAGTCTGCGAGTTAGGGGGCCACAAAATATAGCCAAATGGGAAAATGGGCCAATTTAAAAACAAAATTGCATCCACAAAAAATGGTCACCATCATGACATAATTTTTTGAACATAACATTTCTTAATGACATGCCATAAGCTATAGCTTATGGCATGTCATTAAAACATATATGTTTTAGTTATTAACTATTTTCCTTTTTCTCAAAAATTGATCGTACCGCATCCTGTACAGAAGAACGTTTTGGTTCGAAGACGATTAATGCGCAGGCGCCAAACTATAAGTTTAATAAAAGTCCGCAAACTTTTTTGACTGTCACCAAACTGGTTATATTTTTATTGGAAAAACACTGGAGGCAGTGTGTTTCGAGTGTGCTTCCACATCACAGGGCTGCCCGGTACTAATGAGGTCCAAAAGACCGAAACACGCTGTCTGTC